GAGTGCAAGGAGAAGTTTGGGAAACAAAACAAGCGGAAAGGCTTTGCTGAGGGATTGTGGGAGATTGAGAACAACCCCACTGTCACACATGAGGACTATTTGGTTGGTGGAGTTATGGAGACAACTCAATGCCTTTTTAGAATTCATTTTGTTGTTGTTTTTTTAATTTGCATATCTGTTCATCTTTGCCTTTAGTCATCGAAGAAGGACAACGATTCAGAAGAAGCAGGTGACACAGCCGGCTCAGAGAAAGCAGACGCAGAGGGGAGCAGTGACGAGGACGAGGGAGCCCTGGTCATTGATGAAAAGAACGAGAGGGGAGGAACCAAACGAAAAGCAGAGGAGTCCACAGAGGTGAACACTGGCCAGTGAAGTTCAGATAGAGAGCTGCATCATTTGTTCTCGTCAGCAGATGCCAACTGTCTCTTTGACGCTTTCTGCAGGCATCCCTGAAACGGCCAAAGGACTCAGTGGCAGAAGCTGACTCCAAAGACAACAAACCCAAGGCTGAGGCCAAGGTCAATGATGTGGCCGCCGCTCCATCTCCAGAGAACGATTCGAAAGTAGAGGCCCAGGAAAATGCAGCAGCGGGAGGCCAACAAACAGCAGATAAGGTGAGATTTGACTCTTCTGTGTTGTTAATTACTATTACATTTAACTTGGAGGAATTTTTAATAAACATCGGTTTTCACTGTGGTACCATAAATGTTGTTGTTTTTTTTTTCTTGACTTCCCTCTCTGCAGCCTGTGACAGACAGTGCTTAACAACAACCCACGGGGGGGAAAAAATCAAGAACTTTTGACACTTGGAATTAAAGCATCACCATGGTAACCTGCTGGATGCCAGATTTCAGTTGTTTAACTGATTTAAAAGAATAAATAAATTTAAAAAAATGTTAGTGTTTGTACTGAGGGAGGGAGAGAAAAGCAAATCCTCATTTGCCATTTTTTGGGGTATCATATATCCCAAGAGACAAAGTTTGCTAATCTGATTTCAAACATTTGAACTGAGCACTTTGGGGCTCCTTTCTAATGGGATTTCTGGTGTGTGTATATATTTTTTATTTCTAAGTGCAATTACATAATTACAAAGACTCAATGCTAGGTGTTAAAAACATTTTTTTGTTTTCAGATTACTGAAAGTAGACACTGAATCTATGGTAAATTAAGCAGAAAAAAGATGCAAGTATATTGGACAGAGAATCTCCATTAGTTTGTTTTAAACATAGACATTGACGTTCGGAGAAACATATAACAACATTTTCTCTCATGTTCTCAGCTTTGGTTTGACTCCTGTTGACTTTCTTCAGCATTTGTTGCAAAATAGAATGCTTTGTTGCAGTTGACCAAATTATGTGACTCATTGCCCCCAGATCGTTGACCCAGCTTCTTTCCTAACCCCATATCTTTCCTAAACTGATCATTAAAAGCAGAAAGACATTCCTGAGTGTTTTCTTGAAATGTTCAAGTCAAGGTGAACATTTTTGAGAGAAAATTAAAAATGGTTGCCACTTTTTTTGTTAAAAAAAATTGTCGTGCAAACACTATCTTTGTATCCATCTACGCATCTCTCATTTTCATCATGTCCTATTAATCTCGCAGCAGATGTGTAATTCTGATTTGCACTGAATTGCATTGGATTGAATAATTGATTGTATGAAATATCTCTAGTGTACATTTTTAAAAACTGATAATACCAAATGCATCATGATCTAATCTTTTTTTTTTAGAAAATAATTGAATGTACAGAGTAGTTTGTCTGTAAATGTCCAGGTTGTTTTTGTTTTGTTTTTGTTTGTTTTTTGCCTCACTAACTGGAAAACCTGTCTGCTTTTGGGTGTTAAACAAATTTGTGATCAATAAAAGATGTGTTGGAGTCATAGTTTTGACATGTTAAAGCTTGATCGTGTGGTGAAGATGTGGTGTTATTTTTTTTTCATTATTAGTATTTAATATGGTCCATGTTTTGTTTCTTTCTTGAACATTTGGCCTAATTTACCATGTTTTCTAGATGTCAGTCATTGCTTCAATGTTTTGTATTCGACAACAAGTCACGGACTGAAGTGAAAAACTGAAAGTAACTTTTCACTGTTGCCCACTTTACCACCAAAACCTCTAAATAGAAAATATCAAAAGCTTCACCTGCAGTTCAGCCCAAGGGTATAATTTAGGATTCATGTGTATTTCTGCAGTTTAGCTTTCTGGGTTCATTTTGGAGGCTGCCATTCATGTTAAGCTGCTTCTTAGTTCATATGTGTAGATGCCATTTCATTTAATAAACCAGTTGATTACACAAAAATCTCCTGTGTCATTTTTTTGTAACCATTTCTGAATCTTCAGTCATCAGTGTTGACTGATGGTTTTGAGTCTGTACATTCTCCCTGCATGTGGGGTTGGTGGGGGCAGGAGGTTATCGCTCTAACATGAACTAAGTTCCTGTTTCACACTCAAATGTGAGTGTCTAGCTATTTTTTTTTAATTATTTTATTTGCACGGGTTTTCACTTTAATGTCAGCCGCAGTAATATGTTGCATTTTGTGGTTTATATACGAAGGAATACGTTCAGAATTAAAGGCCATTTTGCAGGCTCTTCTGCCTACTGCGCCTCAAAATGTTTCTGCGCATGCGTTCTGCCAAGCCTGTCCCTCCCGTCCACTAGGAGTCGCTGATTGTAACAGTTAATGACGGTAGTGACTTCACACTTCTGCATGTGACATTGACATCAAGAGAAGGTAACAACACTTTGCTTATCTTATGCTATTTCAGCTTTGAATCATCTTGTTTGTTATAAAAAAAAGAACAGTATCTCTTAGTATTGCTTTTGACGTGAGTTAGTGAAGTACATTTGATCCTAAGTAGCACGGCGTTAAAGATAGCTACTACTGATGCTGAAGTTAGCTTAGCCTGTACTATATGTTACCGACTGAAGGAGCCTGCTCTTATACGGTGAACCTTTTACAGAACTTTATTTATTTCTTCCGTGCAGCACGATGAGACTCACTGCTCTCCTGTCCATGGCAGCCAAGGTTGTTATACCCAAGGACTACCGGTATGGCACCCACAGACCCTGGACAGAGGCCGCTAAAAGGAGGAATCCTCCGGGTAAAAGGAGGAGAAAGGTGTTCGTGGAACCGATAGAGTCACACGACTGGACGGTGTTCAAAGGAGACACGGTGAGATAAGTAAAATGTTCCTTGTTACAAATACTGGTTTCACTGTCTTCTCAGTAGTACATCAGCACAAGCACTTCATCAGACGTGTGGATACTGTCTGGAATAAAAACGGATTTAACAATATTTGTACCACTTGTAATAAAGCAGATACAAAAGCAGGTTTAATATCTATGTTTGTTTCTCAGGTTGAGATTCTCTCTGGAAAAGACCAGGGCAAGCAAGGAAAAGTGATCCAAGTCTTAAGGTGCAGAAACTGGGTGGTTGTGGAAGGACTAAACACAGTAAGAACAGATGTTGTCTATTTATAAGGTATAACCTAATATGAATTGTTAGGTTAGGCTGCCGTACAATTATTTTAAGTCCGTTTTCTCTCTTTTTCTTCAAAGTAAAGGTGATGAGCACTTTTTTTGGTCCTTCATTTATTGTATACAACGCCATGTCTGTCTTTTTAGCGCCACAAGATGGCGGCAGATCTGCGATTAAACGAATTGCTCCACCAACAGTTGGTTTGGTACTAATTGAAGGAACTGTACATTGTCTGTCTGTGTGTTAGCATTACAGGTACATCGGAAAAACTGACAATTATAGCGGACAATACGTTCCCTCAGAGGCTCCTGTTTTGCTCCGTGATGTTGCCCTCGTTGACCCCACTGACAGGTACAGTAACCGTCCATGTTGCATGTACTCTCCTCTTGGGTAAAATAACTGTTGACCCTCTGGTCTGTGATATTTAAGAGATTTTCCTAACATTAAAATAAACCCAGAAACACTTGTAACATGAATGATCATATTTATGTTGCCTTTTATATAAACAGTAGCTTAATAATAATTATTATAAAATTATAATGATAATTAATAATATGGCATAGGGCAACCATAACTGTAGTGCCACCTCTTATAACAATGCAAAACACTTGATAGATTTAGAAGTGCCTGTGGCACTGAAGGCATCATTGGCGTCAGTCCATCTCTGTTTTTAGCCAATCAAGCACAGAGATGTGTAGGCCATGTTTCGACAACTCTGATCTATGTAAACATTAAAGCAGTCATCCGTGTACTGGCTGATGTTTGAAGCATGTTTAGACTGACTTGTTTCTGTCATTCTAACGTAAATCTTCCAGGAAACCCACTGATATTGAGTGGAAGTTCACAGAGGAGGGTGAGAGAGTGAGAGTGTCCGCCAGGACAGGTCGAATCATCAACAAACCTGAGGTACAGCGAAGAGATGGCATCATCCCCGAGCAGTGGAAAGGTCTGTTCAGGAGTGCTATTGTTCCAATATGGGGGGTTGTTTTTTTTAACAGCTCGACTGTTTTTTTTATACTTTGTGTTGACCTGGTTTCTCAAAATAAACTTCAGAGTGGTGTAGGCTGATGAAATGATGACTCTTTGTTTTCCAGTGGTAAAAATACTTCAGAGGAGAAGCAACTGTCTAAATATTACCTCTAACGCATTGTTTAGTTACACACTGAATGTTTTACGAGGAGATTGTATTTGTCCCTGTTTGTTTGTTGAATGTGTGAACGTGCATTTCTAGCTGTTTTCAACAACAGACGTAATGTTCACTTTTCTTACAGATGGTCCCAAAGACACGAGTGTGGAAGACGCCGTCAAAATAACATTTGCACCATCACTGAAAACACTGGAAGAGGAAGTCATGGAAAAATTGGGAATTCAGGAAACCAGGAGGCAAAAGAGGTCGTACTGGTACTGACCAGGTGGTGACTCTGTCCTGCTGTTACTGAACATATCTGCCGGACAAAACAAAAACTGTAACTTAAATAACCTCAAACATTGTCTTTTGTAATATAATAAATAGAAATCCGTTAAGAACAGTTTTCTGATTGTTTTTTCTCTTGTGCACTTTGACTGGTCATAACCTTTTTTTCATTGGCTGTCTCCTGGGGTCACCACAGCCAGTTGTTTAGCTTTACCTTATTCTGTTCAATTTTTTTTAAACTTGTATCCACAGCATCCTCTTCATCCTGGACACAGTAAAAAAAATCACCATCTTCCACTTGGTGTAGCCCAGTCTTCTGTCTAAGGTCAGTACCACTGTACAGTAAAAACAACTGCTCACAGTTAAGTAATGGCCAACATTGCCCTCATTGTCACTGAAAAAGGAAAAATATACAGTATGTCTACAAAAACACTTAATGGTCTTTGAATACATTTATAAAATAAATTCTTCTTGTTCTTTTTTACAGGGGTTTTTGCTGCCTACTGTAACATCAGACCCATTTGTCAAAAAACAGGTACGTCACATTCCACAGTAAAATGTGCTTCACAAACACTAATCACAGCTGATCACATATGATGAGCTACACTTCTTTTGATGAATTTAAACTGATGCATCAGTGACATCACCTCAGGCGTAATTACCATCATGTATGGGTATGTCTATCCCTGACACGGAACCTTGTTCCCATCATTTGGTAAATCACTTAGTTACTGTGTGTGCTTCATATTGCTGCTGCTTCTGTGTGTGTAGTTTGAGAAGTTATCTTTTGCGTACTTCTTTGTACTGTACTGTTGTCTGTTACTTGGAGGACCAAATGTTTTTGGAAGTATGAAATGTTTGAGAACCACAACACATTTTGTTGATTGTTGCCAAATGTCATGGTCTTAAAACCTCACCAAATGTCTGTATTGTGTATTATAACTCTGCAGCAATGACTATTAACCAACACGTATTCTATATTGTTAGGAAAGTGAGGTAATTATTGAAGGCAGTAATCTGGAGCAGATCACTGAATCATGGTTGACACTGATGCTTGTGAACAAAACACAGTAGCAACTGCTCTCTAAAGAGGAAATTGCATTGACATTAACAGTACTGTAGGGTATTGTAAAACCTGCTCAGTCTGCAGTACTGAAGAGTTGTTGGTATTGGCAGGAGCAGCTCTGGTAACGGTTACAGCCCTTAAATGGTGATATGTTTTACAGAAGCCCAGACTCTGTCCTCCTTCAAACAAATGAATCGCTCTTTCCTACGTGTCTGGGAAACAGTGAGCAGCAGCAGCAAATGTCAGGAAATCAGACGATACAGACGGGGTTTCATTGGCTGTAAATCATTTTTCTTTTCTCTCTCTCTCACCATTTTTTCATCAGGCTTTCACATTCGAGCTCTGCTTCAACTGTGTTTTTATTACCTGCAATAAGGAAAAGGGTTTATGGAGACAAAGGACAATGAAAAGTTTGACTAATGTGACATGAGTCAGAATGTCTGAATCAAACCATGTGTCGGAATAGACAAGACGATGACATAGTGCTGCAAGAATATTTAACTGGAACGAAACCAAAGCTTAAACTTTCACAAAAGACTAGCCAAGGATAGTTTAAATAAGCTAACAGGTCTTAAATGTAGGTAAGTAAAGTAAAAAAAGTGACTAAAAATCAGGAAACAAGTATGACTAAAAAGTAGCTTTAATAGTAAAATGTGTTCAAACATGATATTTACCATGTGTGGGGTAAAGAAAACATAAATTAACCTAAAATATTTAAAAGTTAGCAATAATGTCATGAAGGCAAGTGACTACAGTAATAGGTACAGTAATAATAGGCTTATGTGACTAAAAGGTAGCCAAGTGTTATCTTCAATTTAGCTAATAATTATAAGATTTCATAATTTTACATTGCTCATCATCCGCAGCCACTGATGCCAATATTATTCTCTTTTATCTCCATCTGTCTTCACTGGCTTATCCTGGCCTGTATATTTATGAATGATATGAGGTGGTCAGTGAAGTATACAGCCTGGAGTCTCTTTTTCCTCCTTGGTTAACCAAGGGTATCGATTTACAGAAAGTCTAAATTCATCGGTTGCCAGATTTCCCTTGTTTCCAGACGCTGGCTACAAAAGTGATGTGTCATATTATATAATTGCTTCAAAATTTCACAGTGGCTCCACATGCTCTCATTTCTGGTTGGCATCATGCAGAAAGCACGGTGGCGGGCCTTGGGTTTGGTCAGAGTGGAGGAGGTTTCCCACATTAGTCCGGACTGTGCCAGTTTGCCATCATCCTTATCCAGGAGGGAAAAAGCAGCCAGTCAGCGGAAACTGGGTTTTGAGGCTTTTTCTTTTATAGCAGGAAAATGTTTCAGAGACTCGTCTTCTTTCCTGTCCCTGCGTGAGCGTTGTAGGACTTTCACTTCAGGGTTTACTTTACGGTGTAGTGTGATGCACGCTGAAGTGGAACCTCTGTGTCTCCACGTCTTTGTTTCCATTCCCACACCACAGCACAGATGTGAGGGTCGTCTACAGATGGTCTAGCGTCTGCCCTGTGGTGCATTGACAGTAATTGCGGCCATCCATTTAAACGAAACCACCGAGCATGAGTCAGGCAGAATTAAGAATGCTCAGAAATAAAGTGCAGACTGTGCTGTGTGTTTCAGCTGAGTCACATTTGCTTCTCAGCCACAGAAAATAATCACCCGTCCCACCTGGTGCTGAAGCCTGCACGTTCACCAGAGTCAACTCTGACGACCAGAGTCCTATTGTTTGTTTATTGTTGCACAGATGTCATCTCTGATGACAGGTGTTGACGTCTCTTTGATCAGTACGACATCCTCCAAAGCATCTGAAGACACTTTAAACTAAATTTCTGCTCTTGCTCTCCGCTCACTTGATGATCCCAGCTCAGTTACAATATAATGATAGTGCCTAATTATAGGCTGCTCGTTTGATGGCTGCTGGAAAATGTAACGTTAGCTTGTATGCAGGGCTGAAGCCCGGCCTTTGTGCATGTTTAGCTGTGTTTGGTCTAATTTAAGTGGCTCCCAACTGTTTCTTTTATAGAACCTCAGTATGTTACAGCTTGAATAAGGTAAAACACTGCTCTGAGTCTGTCCTCCAGGCTTTAACTTTCTCACCCACACATTTTTTAAAATCTACATTCCATGTATCACTGACAGAAATGAGACACAGATGGATGTAACTGTTGCTATTTATTTACTGTCCTTCCTGAAAGAATTAAATGAATAAGCACTTTTATAGTTTTTAACCTTAGGAATGCAGCACACGGTGTCTGCCATGTCTCCTGCTGTTGATGACAAATGGCAACAGGGGAGATGACACCACTCAGGGAGAGAATAATTGCTGACTGTACCTAGATCAATGTGGGTCACTGTAACTGATGTTAGACTGTTAGACTTAGGTCTGATCTGTGTCTGCTCTACTTTTGCTCCTGCTGTTGTCTGGGTGTCAGATTCCTCAGGTGTGAAGCATCACTTGCTGCTGCAGCTGCGTCACAGGCCCATGGAAAAACAAAGCAGTATTCACTCTCTTATTATAAAAGCCTCATTCATATAAACCCTTCAAAAAGTTCAGTCCCAGGGAAGTTGAGTATTTAAACCTAAACTTGATTCATTCTCTGGATTCATTTTTCTACATGGCGTCTGTGTAGGAAAATCATTCTGGTGGAATGCACACTGGAGCGTGTATGTTTATTTAAAGAATTTGTTCATTTCTATGGAATAAAAAAAAAAACACCTAAATTGTACACATGATTATAATGGACCTTTATCTGAAACCAACTGAGCTGAGTTTTGTTAGTCAGGCTACAACTATTTTTTGGTAGTCTTTGCAGTTTTTGCTGTTAAATAGTTTTCCATTAAACATCTTTGTTCATAAATCTAAAACTTTCCTGTTCCTTTGGAAAGCTGTGCATGTAGTTTACAGATGTCATCGTGAGTGCAGCCAGTAGATAAAAGCTGGAAACGATGGAGCAGCTGCTGTGGATCTGTCACATGCTCATCACTTCAGGTACTCGTCCTGTGTGATTTGGAAAGACCCCCCCAGTCCAAACCCAGCTGGTGTAGCAGAGACAGGATGGAGAACAGCTCTCTCCTCCATCCACTGCTGCGAAGCCAAGTCTGCAGCTGCAGCATCAGCTGCTTTTGAGAAAATGACACTTAAGTTCACCCGTCGTTTTCTCTGCTGATCATCAGCTCTTCTCCCAGTCTGTCCATCACATCAGTTTATTTTAGGTGACAGTCCTCGCCTGACAGACACGCGCCACCTCCATCCCGGTAATTGGGTGAAAAAGTGGGCAGTTCAGGATTTTCTTTTTTTTTCTTCTTCTTGAGAAATATCTGCCTCTACTTTACCTCGACTCCCTCCTTTCCTCCCCAAACCTCGGAGTGGGTCGGACACAACTCCAGTGTGTACCAGCCCCCACTGATACCTGCACACAGCATCCAGCAGAGGCTCTGCCCTGACAGGACAGACGCACTGCAGCAGCAGCAGCAGCAGCGGCGGGAAGGGATTCAAGACTCCAAACAAGGGAAGACAATTAACAAGAAACAATTAAAAACTAGAAGAAAAGACTTTTGCACAGCCAAGAGGAGCCCAGGCCATCCAGTATCCGCTGACATGCTGCCAAAAAGAGTCCGGTAGGTTTTATTTGTGTGTTTACTTATTTAAGGCTAAAAGTGCGCAAATAATGCGGTTCTTGACGGTGTCGTTGGAATCATTTAATCATTTAAGTGTTAAATATTTGAAACAAATTCGTACCCATGGACAGATGTGGACAGATGTGAAGTGTTCTGACCCACATTTGAGGGCACTTTTCCCAACATTGTTCCAGACATTATGATGTGGTCGACTTTTGTTCACTTCCAACAATGGCGTGTTAATATAAGTTTACATTTTCAGAACTTTTATTTCTTAACTTAACATGTATGTATGAATTCGTCGAATTATAAAATTGTTAATTTAATTATTCAAATTACAATTTATGATTCAAAAAGTGTCAATTTGTTTTGGCTGCTATCACTAGCAACTTGTTCCCCTCCAAGTTTGGCTTAGCTAATATTGCTAACATCTTGCACAAGTTGATTGGCCGACGTTAAGATGCACGAGTGCCACCTACTGGGTCCAGTTTACTCTGGTTAACATTTTATTTGTGTATTCTTTCTAGGTGGGTTGCTCAAATCGGGCTCATGTTTCATGTATTTGATTTGAGGCAGAACAATGGTGTTTATAATGTCTGGTGCTGTTTGACAGAACTGTACCAAAACCCGACCACAGCTTAGACACGTTAGCCAGCAGTGGTCTAAATACTCAATTGTTTAAAATGTGGTCCGTTTCAAACAACTTCTCAATCGCTCATGTCAAAAAATATGGGAACTGTAGGGTCCAAATGTTCTAGTTTATTAACAACAGTACCAGCTGCAGCCGGTGCATTAAACAGTACTAAGTCTTGGGACACTGTTACATTTTGGTCATTTTGGGACACCATCCCAGGTTTCCCTGTTGCTGTCTTTTAGCTTGTAATGTTGTTCCTCTGTCCTGCAGAAAAACCTGAAGCTGCTCTCTGTCTTAAGTGCACACTTGTCTTCTTCTGTCCATTATCTGGGAGTTGTTTTTTTTGTTTTTTGTTTTACCTCCCAGAGAGGGTGAATTCAGATTGATGAACAGATTCATGGCACTGGGCAAATTGACGGATGAAGCAGCGTTGCTTTTACAGGTTGTTCTCTGTTTGCTGGTTCAGTGGCTCTGTGGTCCGATGTTGGCCACAGAACTCTGCTTCTCTCTGAGGGAACATTGGGAAAATGTTCCTTAGCTCCAGATAATATTTGATCAAATAACCAGAACTGATTATCATCATTAATGTCACTTTTTAACCAACACAGAGTCTGACAGTTTATATTTCTGTCTTTGTCTTTGTCTCAAATCAGGAACATGACATCTCAAGGGAAAAATAAACAAGACGCTAAAACAGTTCATGGGATTTAAAATTCAGATTTTGTAGCTGGCCAACCAAATTGAAATGCACAGAATGAAAAATAACACATCTATATTTAGCATAAAAAGCCACATTTGTGACTAAATGAGAGAGTTTTTGACAGCAAAATAAAAAACGTCCTATTTGATTTACTGTCAGGGTTTTATTGTCATCAACACTTGACAGAGCTGTGGAGACGAGCACACACACACACAGAGAGAGAGAGAGAGAGAGAGAGAGAGACCCCACAGATTTCTATGGATGGTTCATGACAGGCTGCCAATGTGGTCTGAACATGGTTTTGTTGAATCAGGACTCAGATCAGGTTTTCCACTTTGAAACTCATCCACAGTTGTACCCAGTGGTGAAACATCTGGTGGGTGGCCCTGTCAAAATAGTCTTGATGAAAGTTGACTTGTTGGTGATGTGTGTGAAATCTGGTCAGGGAGCTGAGGGGTGGAGTGATGACTGGGGTGAAACAAGGACATGATGGTGATGGGAGCAGGCTTACTGACCATCTGGTTCCTCCTAAGTTCACGTACGCTGACCTGAAGTCAACTTGCTCTGCTTATAATTGCCAGTCTCATCTTGAGCGAAGAGGCAAAAATAACATCCTCCTCCCACCTGCTACCTACAGGTTTCTATCAACTACAGCACAGTCAGGATGTGTTTATTTGTATTGGAAAGAGGCGAAAGAGCTCCAGGGGGCTCAGGAACCACAGGTTGCAGCCCCTGGTCTATCGAGGCATCAGTAAACATATTTTTGCAAATCCTGATTGCATTTGGAGAATAGAAAATATGGATTAAATGTGAATTGTGAATGTTGGTTGGTAACTGTCAGATCGTCTTCATCTGTCCATCAACAGCTGCACAGTAGGCAGAAGATTCTGAAAAAATAGCAAAAGAAAATGTCTTTGTCATTATAAATATAATTATAGTTACATTAAAACTAGATTATCTTTGATGCTATTTTTGTCCCACTCCATTCCTATTGCGTATTTATTTAAACTCCCATTGAGTCAATAAATCTGAAATTTCAGGGGGAAAAATCAAGATGAAAGAAGAGGGAAAAAGCCACAATGAGAGGCTTAGACAGAGGCTGATTTTCTACTGTGCATTCCAGGAAACTCAGGAAACTTTATTTTCTCTTAGACCCATTAGTACCGCTCATCAGGCTGTGTGTCTCTGAACCCTGAACATGTTTCACTACGACTCACAAGTCTTTTTTTTTTAACACCAGATCTCAATTCTCCATCTGACGTTGTGATCCTTATTTCTCACTGTAAACTACATTTAATTAAAAGCAATATTTTACGTTGTTTCTGCTCCACCTTAAACCAAAGTGTCAGTCAGCGTTCCTTCTGCCGGTGGAGGAAAGTGGATTAGTTCTGCTGGTGGATAATGCAGCGGCAGCAGTTCCTCTGTGTGTAAATGTCGTGCGTGGAATTGATTTTAGCTTGACTTGCCCACGTTGTTAGCCACATCAAACAGAGCTCAACTGCAGGACGCCCAGCGGCAGGAATAAAGTGATGTGAAGTACACGGGCAAAAAGCCAGAATTATCTCCTGTGCACAAACCCCAGTGTGAGCACGCGCTCAGCACAACAACACTGGTACCACGTGAAACAGTGTCTCAATGTGGCCCTTCCCTTTAAATGAAGCATGCTCATTCTTAGTGGTTTTAAAGCTTCCCTCCCTGAAAAGGGTTAGAGGGAGAAAAGAAGGAGAAGAAGTGAAGGAATGTGCCAGCGTCTCGGCCTTTAATTTCAGCAGAAGCCTTTTGTGAAGGAGTGGGTATGAAGTGAAAGCACAGTGTGCAGCTGTCCCCCCGGCCCACTGCTCCCTCTGTGAGTTGTTTTCTCGTCAAGAATACTAATAGTGATGGCAGCTCTGTGGAGTCCACCCAGCTGCTGAGGAAACAGGCATCAATTATCCTGCCATCAAAGATGGCTATTTAATATGGCACAGTTGATGGAGCTGCGCTCCTGTAGACTCTGTTGATCTGCAGACACAAACAGTGTTCCAGTGTGTAAAATATGGCAGGAGCAAACAGTGTGTGTAATCACTCCAGAATGAACGGATATCTAGTAGACAAAATCCTTTGTTAGGTACTTCAGAAAAGGGACTTGTTTCGTGGACTTGCACCTTTTGTCTGGAGGATTTCTGAGAAAATAACGACGAAGACCTGACAAAGAACTTACATAGAAACCACTAAAAAACAAAGAAGAAATGTGGAGACAGAGTAATGAAAGTAGAACTTTCTAAACTGCCTGCCTAAAGAGATGGGTGAACTGAGGAGTCCTCTGTTTGTTTCTACATGTAGCAAGTGAGAACTTTGTGTAATTTTACTGTTAAAGAGTGTTAATTTTCAGCACAGATACATTTAACACTTAATCATCAATTAAAAAAAAAATTCAGTTCCAGTTTCTAACTGTTGGGGGTTTACAGAAAAACAGAGTTGTCTTTCAGGATTTTCAAATCAGTTTTGTTGTGCTGTTGTCATCAGCAACCAAATAGTTTTTTAATTCTCTTTTTTCTTGAGCTTCAATGCAGCTTCTGCCATTTCCCAGACACACACACACACACACAATCACCCACTCTTTCAGACGTGTCTTCAGTTTCAAAGTGAATCCAGTTTTTTGCTGACATTTCACTGAGAATTTATTTTGTTGTTTTAAATATCGTTCATTAAATAATATGATGTCTGTTTTTGAGAGCAAGAATCATCACAGTACACATTGGGCAAAGGTCAGCATAGACTATAAGGAAACACAGGTTCAATACTCTAGGTGTTTCTGAAATGGTCAAAAATGGTTTGCAGAAAACTCTTCTTGGCAGGAAATCTCAGGAATATGTAACAGGGATTTGTCATTTTAAAAAAAGAACTCCTGGTATAAACTCCTGCACAAGAGCAACAACTCTGAATCATCGTTAACGTTATAAAAATGACACCCTATCTGGCCGTGAAAGTTTCACCGAGCTGCTGTTTAATGATGCTTGAACATTAGCAGCCACGTCACCGCCGCCTCATGAGGTTGTGTGAGGTCACTGTCAGCATCCTGCCATCTCTGCTGGGTTAATAACAGGGCCAGACTTGTGACGGAGAGAGCTGGCGGACGGGCGCTCGGCCGAGGCGCCATGTCATTAGCGCCCGGATGTGATGAATGGCCTGTGGTCCAGGCCCTGTGTTCCTAATGTGTCTTTTGAGAAGCCGAGACATTGGTCCTTTGTCCTGCTTGATTAAGCCAAAGATAATGTTTTTCAATACTTATACTGGAAGGACATGTATGTCAGTGTTGTACAGCTGTGCTCTGAGTCACTGAGCATAAATAGTCAAGTACCAGGATGGCATTTATTCAAAACTGAGTGAAAAGTATTTGGACATCTTTTTGTTTTTGGACTAAATGTTCTGTTTTCCTTGGTCACAGAAAGATGAATATCTGGGATTTGCGGACAACGCAAAGCTTTTATTTTGAGGCTTGGAAAACTGCAGATTGAAAATTTCCACAGTTTCCACTGTGTTTTAAGGACCAAATTATTAACAAATTAATCAAGAACATGTCTGACAGCTTAAACGCCACAGGAAATCAGCAGCTCTGCAAAAATCCTCCTCCTACGTACTTGGTGGAAATTTCTATGTACAAACTCTGTACACTTTCCCATGAAGTTTATCAGATGAAAAATGAACCCGTCTGACAGTCCTTGGCTCATATGTGTCTCCTAAATTATTAATAAGAATCTTCACTTCCAAATTCTCTAATGAATAAATAATGTTTAATTATCCCAAGAGGATCTGCACGTATAATATTTTTCATTTTTTTATTGTGATGGTGTTCAGGTGTTGATGTGTTTTTATTGATTCCAATCATTATAGCCCTGTTGCCCACAGAAGGTACAATATGTGTACAGTATTTTTATTGGGTGTGGTTATATTTCCAGGAGTAAGATTTATAATCTAGATTACTCTGTCATTTAAAAAGAACAATTAAACAGGTTAAAGTCAGATTTTAATTATTAATATTGCAAAGTTAAAGAATTTGAAGTTCTTCCTGC